GAACAAAAACCACATAACTCGTTATAACTCCACATACTTTAGATATATAATAGTTTTCTTTTCAAGGTTCCCCCCTTTGTCTCTTTTTGGGATCGCCCGGGTTTTCTCTCGACGAGATTGACCAGACCGTTTCCGGTTTTCTGATGAAACACGACTAAATGCCGAATGTCCTGGACAAATAGGCCGCGCACAGTTGACTTTTTTACTTTGAGATTTCACTTCACCAACAGCTTCAAAGCCGCTCCAAATCAGCTTCTCTGTAACATTCCAAATATCCCATCTTCTATTATATATATAGCTATTCTGTCCTTTCATTCAAATGACTTGGCTTTTGCATCTCGTCCTGTGCTAGATGCCGTGCTTGGGTGAAACTCTGTGCTGAACAGCTCTTCGGCTTCTGTACCAGCTGCTCATCTTTCGGCTGTGGCAACTTCATCTTGTCGCTAGCTCGAAACAAACGCTTTGTCAAAGCTGGTTCTTTTCCTGAAAGGCGCTCGTCTTGAAGGTTTGCTGAGTGGATGGCTTTGACGCGCCGCGTTCAATCGGAGACTTTCAACGATGACAATTTCGTTTGGATTTCAAAGTGTGCAGAGGTGGCTTGGTAAGAGACCAGCCTTCACGCAACTGTGTAGCCGTAGGGATTTTCATAGTCGGCGTCACGAAGGCTTGCATCCAGCTTTTCTTCCTTCTTCCACTGCCCATCCTGCGGAAGAGCGCCGAGTCAACGGAACGAAGGCTGAGAGAATGAAGCGCATGCAGCTTGGAAGCGGGTTGGAGGCGAAAGTCGCTCGTCCTGTTGGCTGTAGATGTCGATTAAGGGCGCAGCAATGGTCAGCTTCATCTCCTTCTCAATCGCCTTGAAGCAGGGCGCACGGCCACGACACCGCCGGAACTTCAGCAAAGCGTTCGGCAAAAAAAATGCGCTGCTTTCCATCATGGCTTGACAACGCCATTGCTTCAAAGCGCCATGCTATTTTTCTTCTGAAGGCAGTCTTGTGTTTTGTGAAAGGCGTTGGACATGAACACCAACCATGAACCCACAGCATCTCTTGCTAACAAGGACACTCTGCTCAACTCATCAAGCTTGTCATTGGGCTTCCATGAGCTGAGGTCGGCACCTTCTTCAAATATGCCTGGCGGTGTTCCGTTCAGAGAAACCAACAAATTTTCACAATAGCATCCAACCACAGAGCATTCAACAAAGACATGTCAGGAGTACAATGTTTTGGGGTACTGGATCGATTGGGAACGCATTGCCGGCAAAGTCATAGCCACCGGCGCCGTCCTGCAAGGTCAGCAACCGAACATTTAAACAAGAACGGTTGCGATCCTGTGCTACTGGCATTTACTTGCCAAAGGGTGTGGCAAAGGAAGGGCGTGGCAAAAGACATACAAAGACCTTCGCTTGAAACTGTAAAAAAATCTAAAGAATATTGTTGCAAGATATTGTATTGTTCAACAAATCCTGAGCAATGAACAACCCTGCAATCTGTCCCAAAAGTCCTGAACCCCGCGAAGAACAAACCATGACAGGGCGCTGTCTTGCACAACCGACTTACTCGCACCAATCTCTTGACTTGCGAGGAAGACATGAACGCATAGTAGAGGGAAATCTCTTGATGAAGTTTCGGCTGAACAAACCACTTGTATTTGAACCAAAAAACACTAGTCAAAGGAAGTTTGAAAAAGGAACAAAGGCATAAACTGCTGCAGTGACCAATCAACACCGGTCTTCGCACAAGAACCGCACAAAGGAACAAATGAAAGGAACAAAGAGATGACAAAGCAGCTTGTTCAACACTTGCAGTATCTGTGATAGGTGAGATGTTGAGTGTCAAGAGGCCCTGATGCCAACGCCACCCTTTGAACCAATGTCTGGCTGGCTGTGCTTCAGAAGCAATAGCAAAAACTTAATGCGCGTGAAAAGCAAGGCAACACATCATGCAACCATTTGAAAACATCGCAACATGGCTGAGGGCAAACTCTTGATGAAGTTTCGGCTGAACAAACCACTTGTAGTTTAACCAAACACTAGGCCAAGGAACTTTGATTATGAACCAATGGTAGTATAAACTGTTGCAGTGACTTTTGCAAATTACAAAGCCTTTGACGCTTGAATGAGAGAAATGACGGAGCACAACTCTACCATTGTTAGCATGACCGATTAACACCAGTTTTAGCACAAGAACCGCACAACGGAACAAATGAAAGGAACAACACATAGGGATGACAAAGCGGCTTGTTCAACACTTGCAGTATCTCTCAAAAGGTGAGATGTTGAGTAGGAACAGTCAAAAGGACATGGCAAAGGAACAAGGGCATGGAAGATAAACATACAAGCTCGTTCGTCTAAAACGTCTCTATATTATAAATTGTAGAAAAAATCTGGAAGGCATCATTCAACAAATCCTAAGCCAAAACAACCCTGCAATCTACGCCCCAAGAATCCTGAACCCTACCAAGGACAAAACATTACAATGCGTTGGGTTGCACAACATCAAGCTTTGTAAGATAGGCATTGCGGCATGGCGGCATGACCAACAGGAAACGCTAGCTTGGAAGGGTTCATCACAACAATCTCTTAGGTCGCAGTCCTCGCGAAGTTGTCTCACCCAAACAGCTTTGGTCTGCGTGGCAGCAGTACCTAGCAGGGTGCAAAGGTTCTCAAAGCATCTTACGTCCTAATACGTCCGTAGGTGCGACAGGCGCAAATGGCTTGCCAGTGCACTCAATCCATTGAATTGAAAACTGGATGTGTTCCGGCTTTGCTGCGAAAGGGCTTGGCAACTCGGCATCAAAAGCACTGGATTTGCTTCTAGACCGCTGCTACCTTTATTCATTCCTGGCCACAGGGAATGTTGTAGCAACAGCTACTTGGAGCAACAACACATTGACATGCGGACGGCCGCAAGCAAACCTCTCACATTCCCCCCCTTTCCCTCCAGTCCCCCGCCTGCAATGGCTGAGACAGCCAAGACCGGCCTCTTACCTGAAAGCAGGAACTCTTTGATGCCCACTGGTGTCCATCCGCCATCAGGCAAACTTGAACCTTCCAAAGTCTTCGAGATCAGGACATCATCCTCTCTGAACTCGGCTGCAGTTTTCCGTACTGCTTGCTGAACCCCTTCCACATCTGTTGTCTTCTTCTTGGCTATACTCAGGATTGTGCGCCACCATCTCCACCATCTCGGTGTTCGGCGCTTGCTGGAAACCTCGACCTTCTTTGTTGCATTCAGGAAAAGCAAGAGTTGGAATGCCTGCGTCTCATTCCATCGGTACTTGCTCACAGTCTCCTGCTGTGGTGCTAACGGCTACTTCCTTCGCAACTGCTTCAGATTGGCTAATCACGATGACCTGTCCAAAGGTGTGCGCAGCACGGGCGAGGCTCATCAACATTCTCCCATCTGCTCCCAGCTCATTGTCAAAGACGTTGTCCAAAACAAATTGCAAGCGGATTCCGGAGGGATTCCGGAGTTGGACAATTCCTCAAAAACGATTTCTGCAACATGTGGCACAAGGCTAATTTTCTCCAACCCGAAAGAAGTATCTGAGATTCTCTAAACTTTCCCGGATCAAAACGGTGATGGAATGTGGATTGTCTGCAGCCCATCCCAGCATGGACAAACTGACAGCGACTGACTTGCCCGCGCCAGGTTCAGCATGAATCGAAGTGACTCCGGTCAAGGTCACATCCGATAGCACGTTGCTCACCAGATGCTGAAATTGCGTCCCATTCACAGGGATGAGTGGCAACGAGATGTTCGGCAAGAAAATGTTTCGAGCTTTCTCTGACTTCTTGGCGTTCCTCACCAAGATCTTGGCAAGGCGTTTTGCATGCTTTGGGAATCGTCGACTTCCACCAAAGATTTCAGTTTGGAAATCGAGCGACGGTTCTTGTTTGCATCCCAAAGTCCCTGCCCAAGTTCCTTCAGCGATGTCCCAACCACTGAATGGATCGATCTTTTGTGCCCACTCCCCGGCTTCCAATGACGCTTTCCTCGTGGTGCTTGGACATTTGTGCTTGTTTTGGGTCACTCGCGGTATTGCAATCAGAGCAATACAAGACCTACCCAACAGAATAGGCAAGACCAACGCAAGGAGCTTGAAGCCGCGCTTTGCCATGGCGAGATTGCATGTCTGCACAACCGATTCCGACGTATGTGCATGACACCAAAGAACACAGTATGAATGCCTACGAAGCTAAACCAGAGGCCTGCGCATGTGCCCCAACATGCACAATGTCTACTTGTGCAACATGTAGAACGTCTTCCAAACCCGAAACATGGTAAATATGATGGTTTCGCGCGGGGCCCCGGTTAGCGTCGTAGGCAAAAACAAGGAGTCAGCTCTATAGAGTTGAGGGCCATGAGTCTGTCAAAAGCTGCGAGCAATGAGGATTTTGCTCTATAAAAAGCAGGTCCTGAGGTACCGTCGAACAGGCGTTTTTCAATAGGAGTGAGAAAATGGGACTCTATAGAATCAAGATGAATCAAGGTACAAGGTTCTGAAGAAAACATAAGAATGAATGCAACTGTCCAGGAAGGCATTGATTCTCCAGCTGGTAGTACCACAAATTTACTGTATAGAGAAAAAAAGGGCGTTATGGACAGGTCTGTGATTTTATAGTGTCCAAAGGTCGTCCCCAAGTCATCTCCATAGAATTGCAGTCCCTGACATGCAAATCTATGCTAATAATTCTCTATAGAATCAGTATGGCTGAGGCACCAAGATCCACCGCACCATCACTTCAACACCTCTGTAGAATCGAGCTTGAAAAAAACCAGCGGGTCTCCATAAAATCGAGAAACTTCCAGGTTGGTACTTACAAGCCTCCATGTTAACCAAGAAAATCTGGCTAAAAAACATCGCTTTCTAGGGGTCCCAACCCCCGCGATTTTGTGGAGGAAATTCCAACCCCTATGCGCCGGGTATGTTCATCACACATTGCGGCGTCTCTTGTTGTGAGTCAGCATATTTGATATTTCCAGCTTTCAACATTTACATGAGCCGCCCCATGCCCCGACCAGGAAAGCCCTATGCCCTATCCCAACCATGCATAAAGGAAAGCTGTACATGATCCAATATGAGAACCATTGCGAATATAAACTGAACATGGCAAGAGATTATGAGGAGGACAGCAAAGGGCAACGAAACCAACATGAAAACTGGAACAGGATTGTACCAAGCGTAGCTCTTAAATTGAGGTGAAGAACAGGTGAACTACAATAAACAGTTAGCAGTAGCATGCATTTCTGCATGTCTGTGTCTTGTCTCTACCACATGTGAACAGGTTTGCTCACATGGTGGGCACAGTCGTGACGAGGACGGCAGTTGGAGCAAACGGTCTGACGGAATCAGTGACGATGATGCCAACAACCTTCTACACCTGTCTCCTTTTGATGTAAGCAATAAATAGCACCACGTTGTTCAAAAGCAGTGCACAGGATGTGCTTTTTGCGAAATTGGGAGAATCGAACCTTTGCTCTTTGCTCAATTTGTGGAACACATTCTGAGCTTCACACTCA